GAGGGGGAGCCAACCTGATTTTAAAATCGGAACCCAAATGTAAAGGTAGATTTCCAGCACAGCCGTTTGGGGTGGTTGTTTTTTACAAGTAGATTAGAGAAAGCCACCTACCTTCGTTAGGTATTTGGAGTCGCCCACTTGGGAAATAAACACCATTCGCAGCCCAGTTGGCCACCGACTCCGCGAAAAGGTAACCTACAACTTGGCCTCCAGCCTCCCTCTTTTTAATGTAAAACCAAAACAAGGAGTGTCCAACTACTCCCCCACCGCGCCGCTTAAAGCAACAGAAGGCTCCAGGGTCGGCTCTCTGCCTCCGGGAATTCCAGTGGGTCGGGATTCCTTAACCTTGGAGACCTGCAGGGAGACGCTCCCCGCCGGGAGAACTCCCCAAGGTTCCCCGAGCCCGGGCTTCTCCCGGTCCCAAGCTGCACATTCCCCGCGGCCGAGGCCGGAGAGCGATCCCCAAAGAGCGGCCCTCGGGGGGTGGGGGGCGGCTGAGCCCCTGGCGGCGGCGAGCAGCACGGAGCGCGGCGGGGCCCGGGCCCAGGGGCGCCGCATCCACACGCGCGCGGACGGAGCGCTCGGGAGCCCGGCTGGAGCGGCGCTGCGCACCCGGAGCGCCGGGCGTCTGCTCCCCGAGCTCTTCCCGGTTCCTCCCTCCCCCCCTCCGCCCTCCGCCTCACAGTAGCAAGGTTGTCTCTCGCGCACTCCCTTCCCTGAAACTCACCAAACCAGATTTTTACTCCCAACACCGGCAACTTCCCGTACATCGGCCCTGAAATTTTATCCAGCTCGCTGAGCCTCCGCTGGCGAAGGGCCAGTGCAGCATTCCTGTTGTTTTAGGAGCGCGGATACCTTTGCTGAAGGCTCCAAAGAGGTCGGGCTCGATGGGCGAGGCTCGATCAGATAGACGTCTCCCCCCACGTACACACCCCGATTAAAAAGTCCCATCCATCTCGGACCCCAGCGGTGGCACCTGTCCCACCGAGGACGCAGTTCCCGCCCCTCCCCCACCCCGCATCCCCGGCCCCAGTGTGAGGAATAAGGAACTTGGTGTTGAACTACAAGCCGATCAGGGCCACCCCCTCTCCCTCCGGGGAAAGAAGCGGTGGGAGCAGGTAGGCGGCCGGCACGGGCCGGGGGAGGGGGGCACCTCCCAGCGCGCCCTCCCTCACCTGAAGCCTAGCATTGCGGGGGCCAGCGCAGAAAGGAGCGAGCGTCACGCGGCCAAGCCCTGACCTTTCCCGGGGCCTTCGCAGCAGCGCCTGGGGCCTGGGCGCTGCTCTCTCCGAAGGGGCTCCTTTCGATGCACACTGACCTGAGGTTACAGCTGGTTTCTAGAAAGGGAACAAAAAACACCGCGTTCAGATTCCGCAGCCCTGCCCTCCCTTAACCTTGGCGGATCTGCGAGGAGGAGTTGCCGCTAAAACCCCTACCCTAGCCTCAACCCACCACCCCACCCCGCCTCCCCGCGCGCCTTACCTGTTTGTACACGAGTTACAAAGCCCCACGCATTTCAGGAGAGCGCTCAGCCTGTTTGTGGGCGCGCGACCGGTCCCCGGCAATCGCGCGGGGTGACTAAACAAACTCGAAGAGGAAGCAGGCACCGCCGGGAACCCAAAACGGAGTTGTGATTTCGGGTTGCAATATCATTCAACGGAAAACAAGAAACTGCATCTCATTAGGCTACTCTCATGCAGAAATGTGGGTTTGGGTGGTTAAAGAGCGGAGAGCAGTCTGGTGGGTTTGCTGCTGATATTGGTGTTTGTATTTGTGTTGTTGACTTTTCTTTTTCTTCTTTTCTCTGAAAAAGAAGGTGTGGCCAGAGTTAGGAGAGGCGTGGAGGAGCCCCAGGGCATAGTGGTTAAGCTTGGATTGCTTACTTCAAGGTCAATAGTTGCACACCACTCAATGCTCCGCTGGAGAAAGATGAAGCCCACTTTCTACAACCGGTAAAGAGCTGTAGTCTCAAAAACCCAGGACTAGTTCCACTCTGCCCTGTAGGGTCACCAAATGTCAGAGCCAACCCCATGCCAGTGCATTAGCTAGACAGGAAGACCCTCCAGGAGATGGATTGACACACACAGGCCAAGATCATGGGCTCAGCTATACCAACAGCTGTGACCATGGCTCCAGGCACCGGCTGTATTTTGTCCTGTTGTGCAAAGCACAGGGTCCATGTGAGCTGGAGTTAGGTGTCTGAATGAACAACGACAACTGGAGAACTGAGAACATGTCATTCACCCTCTAGGGCCTTAGTTCCTGCAAGATTCAAATGGTGACTTTTTGCCATTTACATTCCTTGGGGAAACATGGACTCACTTCCATGGAGTCGATGCCAACTCATAATGGAGAACTAAAGTCCTTGTGACGAAAGGAGTGCCCAACTGATGTTCCTGTCCCTTGAAAGTGACAGGACTGACAAGCCTGGACATTCCAAGACGTAGTCGCTGATAAAAAGAAATTCAGGGCTCAGCAGTCAACTGTCCATGTATGCTCCATTCTGATTTGGGTTTAGGGCCTTGGCCCTGGAAGAGTTACTTAGTCTGTTCAGTCAGAAGTCAAGCCTGGGTGAATCATGATCATCCCCACTTGAAAAACAGTGTGAAATAAGGGGAAATCATTTTAAAACTCATAAATATTAAAGGATGGCTGTTGAATATTAACATGTGGTCAGTGCCTGCCCTTTTTCCTCTGTGGAACTTCACTTTTAAAGAAAGAGTAGGGCCCTGGTAGTGCTCACTTCAAGATTGGCAGTTCAAACCCACCAAGGGCCTAAGGGAGAAAGTTGAGGCTATGGCTTCCTTAAAGATTTACAGCCTCAGAAACCCTATAGCAGGTTGCGATGAGTCCCCAAAGCAAGGAGGTTACTTTAAGGATGGGCCTGACCCAAGCCATGATATTTCCAATAGGCTCATCTAAAAGTGAAAGTTGGACATGGAATAAGGAAGACTGGAAAAGATTCGATGCATTTGAATTGTAGTGCTGGAAAAGCGTATTGAAAGTACCATGACTGCCAAGAGGACAAATTGATCTGTCTTGGAAGAAGTACGAACAGGGTGCTCCTTAGAGGCAAGGATGCAAGGCTTCGTCTTAGATACTTTGGACATGTTGTCACGAGAGACCACTCTCTGGAGAAAGGGCATCTTGCTTGGGAGAGGGGCAATGAGAGAGAGGAAGGCCATCTGTGAGGGGGACTGACACAGTGGCTGCAACAATGGGCTCGGGCATAGAATCAATCCCGAGGGTGGCGCAGGACTGGGCAGGGTTTCCTTCTGTGGTGCAGAGGGTCGCTATTGGCTGAACCGACTCGATGGCACCTAACAACTGAGCCCCATCAGAACTGCTGAGATGGCAGTGGGTTGAGCTGTTAAGGAAAGATGGCATATTCACTTGCATTACTGAGGCCGTTTACAACTGGATCCTATCAGGTCCTTTATTCCCATTTTACAGATGAACACCCTGAGGTCACAGTGGCTAAGCAATTTCTCCAAGGTTTCCTGGGCGAGTGAGTGGTGAGGCCAGCATTAGCTCCGGCTTCCGGGAAACCCAAATAGTCTTTGCCGCTTTTTGCTGTTATCGTTAGGTGCCTTTAAGTAGGTACCCGTATCCGGGGCCCTCTGTGTGAAGGTACTGGGTTTGGAGTGCGTTTATGTAGACCCAAATGAAGCACTCCCCGTCCTGGTCCTGTGCGATCTTCAAGCTCAGTGGTGCAGCAACAGTCAATCTATCTCCCTGAGGGTCTTCCTCTTTATTTGCAGACCTACTTTACCAATCATGATGTCCTTTCTCAAGGAGCTGGTCTCCTGATAGCATGTCCAAGGCCAACGAGATGCAGTCTCGCTGTCCTGGCTTCTAAGGAGCTTTCTGACTGTGCTTCCAAGACAGATTGATTTTACTTCTGACCACCCAAAAAAACCCAAACTCACTGCCACCGAGTCAACGCTGACCTCATAACAACCCTACAGGACAGGGCAGCACTGCCCCTGTGAATGTCCGAGATGGGAACTCTGTCCTGGAATAGAAAGCCCCATCTTTCTCCCAAAGAGCAGCTGGTGACCTTGCAGTGAGCAGCCCAGTGAGTAACCACTGCAGCACCATGGCTCCTAGTGGCTGCTGGCAGAGTCCAGGGGCAGTCAGTATTCTTCACACACACCGTAATGCAATGAGTCCGTTTTTCACTCGTCATTGTTATGTTTGGAGCCCTGGTATAGTACCTTACACATTAGGCTGACACAGGTCAACGGTTTGAAACCATCAGCCGTTCCAAGGGAGAAAGATGAGGTTTCCCACTCCTCTAAAGAGTTAGTGTGTCAGAAACCCCTTTGAACAAACTCACTGCCATCCAGTCAATGCTGACTCCTAACGACCCCTTGTGGGTTTCTGAGACTGGGACTGTTTATGGGAGTGGAAAGCCCAGTCTTTCTTCCTGGTGGGTTTGAACTGCAAACCATGCGGGTCACAGCCCAATGCTTAACCACTGCCCCAGCAGGGCTCCTCTGTATCAGTCAGAAATTACTCCATTTGTCACCTTTTGTTTGCTGATTAGGTGAATGAAAATACCCCGCTTTAGGTCTGGCACCCCTTAGTCCTTAGAATGATGTACAACCAGGACCTATTTTAAAACCCTTGAGCTTTCTGACCTCTTTACCTTTCCGGTGTGGCAAAAAAAAAAAAAAATTGAAAGACTAAACAGATCAGTTTTAAACATTTTCTTATTTGAGGTTTACTCCTTGTCTCCACAAGAGTCAAAGCGAAGTGCAAACAAAGTAGGAGTAGCCCCCTGGGCTCACCGGCCAGAACTGAGTGTCCACCTCTGCTCAGAAAAAGGACTCCACAGCCTCAGACTCCCAGCTTTCCTTCAGTTTGAGTGACACATTGGGCTGCTAACACAAGACCAGCAGTTTGAAACCACCAGCTACTCCATGGGAGAAAGATGAGGCTTTCTCCTCCCGTAAAGAGCTCTAGTCTTGGAAACCCACAAGGGCAAGTTTACTCTGCCCTATGAGTTGCTGTGAGTCAGAATTGACTCAATGACCGTGAGCTTGATTTTCAGGGATTTTCCCCCCCAGAAGTAGATTACCTTCTCCAGCCCAGGGAGGGGCAGTCTCTCATAAGGGCTTGCCAGGGTGTGTCCTTGATAGAGATCTATATACTGAGGATCACACTGTCATGAGTCATGCCCAGACTGCCTTGGTCAGAAGGCCCTGGACTATTCTTGTGAACTCTTCTCTCTGACATAATGTACGTGTCCCAGTCATGGCCCTGTGCCACCTGCTGTTGTCATACCTGTCACTGTGATGCAATAGTGAATTTGTGATTGTTTCCTTTGTTCCGGGCCTTGGGTAATGACCAGCGTCCTGACTGAATCCTCAGGCA